AAATATAATATAAATAATTATCGAAATAAATATATATATAATAATTAAATAGATATATTATATGTCCATTTTACATAAATAATATAATATAATGTAAATAATAAATATAAAAAGTGATGCCATTATATTGTCTTCAAGCTCAGCTAAAACTAATACACTTTATCTTTGAAATCCTTTTACAATGTTTCTTTATTCACCTCTCTAAAGAGGACATTTGTGAGCATGAGGCTTTATGTGCATATCCGTGCTCTGTTAGCACAACTAGAATGGATCTCTTCTCTGTCTCTGAACAAGGCTTTGCTGTTATTGTTTACAATGAACAAGGGACGTGTGATGAGTGCAAAGACATACTTACATATTCATGCTGGAGTCTACAGTAATAGGATTTGAATGAAATGTCGCTCTGATGGAGTTGCTTTTGCCTGAATATTCAATATGACCTCAATAGAGCATGTAAACAATTTGGCTACGACTTAATAGTGTATGGATGTGGCTTGTTAAAGTTGTTTGACACAATAGCCAATAAGGGAGCTGAGTTTCATTTATTTGCTCAATGTTGTCTAAACACAAACAGCCATAGATCAAATGTGCCTCCATAGACACAAACTACAAATCTTTCTTAACATGATCTAATATAGGTTTATATTGAGCCTGCCTTTCAACAGAGCCTCAACAGCAATGTGAGCTGATGCCCACCAACATGAGCCAAGAATAACTCTTTGGGGCAGAGCACACTGGCATTTCTGTAACTCAACACCAGTAATGGGGCAGTCTAATATGGAAAACTTCTACTAGTATGTTCGATTCCCAAGACGATGGCAAGCCTAAACACTCACTGAACACTGTCAACCAATGAGGTCATTTTCAAATCCTTTTCTGAAGCAACACCAAGGAGTTTTTACCACTTAAGTTGCACTAGATGGAAAACTTGAAGGGAAGTGAGTGCTGCCAGAAATGGGATATAAGTTAAAAAAACACACGTGCCCACGCATGCATGACTAGATGTTTCATAAATTCACAAATCCACTATGCAACCAGTTACTCCAATAATTACTGTATATTGAACTCTATGGTTTAGAAGATAGTCAATCTTTTTGGTTGACTTACCGATCTGGTCCTCAGGTATGAGGGACTCTAGAGGGGGGTCCAGTTCGGAACTCTGGCGCAGGTAAGCCTTCATTTGCGTCATAAATTGCCTGAGAGTCTGCAGAAAATCCGTCCCTGAGGTGTGACAGCCTCGGTTCTCCTGAACAAAGCTGATGTAGTCCTGGACCAGGGAGCCAAAATAAGAGCTTTTGTCCCGCGACATCTCTGCGATCCTCTTCACCGCCCGTCTCTCCGGGGTCATGAGGGAGCTCAGCATGCCGCTCACCTTGCGGAAACGTCCCTTCAGCGCCCTGGGCAGGATGAAGGACCCCCCGCCCAGACTCACACCAACTCTTCGCCTTCGCGCTTTGAAAGACGGACGGTGGCGCATTTCTAGGTCCGTCTCCAAACTGACCCCGTAGTCCTCGTCATCTTCGTCCACATCATCGTCGTCGTCGCTGCTGTCCTCCACCGTGTCTTGGTGATTCAGGTGTCGGGACGGGCTAGGGGCCAGGCCCAGGGAGAATTCTGGAGAATGTGAGTATTCCAGTGATTCAGAGGAGGAAGTGGACATGCTCATGTCACTGAGCCGCTGGCGTCCCCGCTCCTTAGGAGTGGACTGACCCCCGGCGTTACCCTCCAGCAGAGCATCAGCTGCTGTAGGCTGGCAGGGTGGAAGCTTGGCACGGGACAGAGCTTTGGCGATGGTCTCATCATCCAGGGCGATGTGGCAGCGGTGAGATTCCAGATCGGGCTTCTTAGGCCTTGGAGGGGGGGGGTTTGACGGCACAGGGATCGGTGGACTGGCAGTCTTGGAGGGGCTGCCCTGTTTGCCCCCCATCGATGGCCGAGCCGGCGCTTGGCGCTTTGTGGAAGTCGGTTGTTGCCTTGGAGACACAGTGACAGCTACTGGCATGCTCTTGGGTCTGGTGGTAGCTGCTGGAGGTCCAGGAGGTGGGGGGGCAGGGCGTCGGCGAGGCATGGAGCGGGGGGGAGGAGGGCGGGGGGGAGGTGTCCGGGATTTGCCGTTCAGTTTGACCTTGTCCGCGTGCTGCTCGATACCTGGGCTGCTGCTCAGCTTCAAGGACTTCCCCTCATTCTCTAGGTCTTCTTCGGACCTGACGGCATGTGTCGGCGGATCGTCCTCACAGCGGGGGGGGCAGCGATGCGTCTGGAGGAACAGGGGGGTGACGAAGCACAGGGGGCCGCTGGAGTGTCTTCTCTCCAGACGAAAGGAGGGTGGAGAGGCGCAGGAGCGTAGGGTAGGGGGTGCACTGCCGCAGTGGGCCCCGGCGTGTCTCTGCTGAGACTCCTCCCCCTCCCTGTTCCTGTTGCTCCGCTGGGGGCTGAGGGTCCGGCTCAGAGGGCGGCAGGCACGGGGGAAAGTGCGGCGTTGACTGCACAGGGCAGAGTCCCAGAAGCCTGTAACACAAACACACACACACACACACACACACACACACACATTCAGAGGTAAACATTAACTAACTTTAAGCTACACACCTCTCCTCAATTCAATGTTCAGAGAAAGGGTATGTCCTTGAGTTTTCAAATAAAATGTAAGTCCAAGACAAGAACAAAGAAGAACAAAGACAGCAATCTCAACTATCTCTCACCCAGCAGATCAAAAGTGTCCTAAAAGTCTTTCTAACTGCTCTCTCTGCCTGTCTTTAGCTGCGTCTATCGTCTTTCTAGTTTTCGGAGCGCTGTGAGTTCAGTATCCTGGCTGCGACTCACTGGGTGCCGGCACACACCCAGAGAGGGAGTCGCCCATTCTAAAGACAGAGTGGGAGGGCACAACCACGGCACGCAGTTCCAGTTCCTCCACTCCTTCCTGCTCTGTTTTCCTCTCTCTAAATTCTACATGCTGCTTTCCTGTTGCTCTGGGACACGTTTCTGATGTAACAGAGCACTATTGCTGGCAGAAATCCTTATTTCTGCCTTTCTTCTTTTTCTATATTCAGTGCAAGTCTCCCATTACATTGAAAGACATTTACTCCCATGTTGATGTTCCATTGAATCATTCCATTGTTTTCAGCTGTTTAGCCAAGACTGTTGTCACGCTAACACACTGAGCTTTAATAGCGACTGGAATGAGTCTTTTAAGTCCTGACATGTGTATTTACAACACAATCTGAAAGGAAACATGCTGCTTCAACACATGTTGCAGAATAAGCCCAGTGATGACTGCTCCTGCAGGTTCAAAATGGAGACGTTACTCTTGCTCTCATTCCTCGGGCAATAAAGGAGCCGGGTCCGACAGTTTCATATGTCTTCTAACACCCCCTCGTCTGGAGGCTGAAATGTGCCCGTGGTATTCCTGCTGCTCCGTGTGAGAACGGACCACCTGACTCTGGGGTCTGTCTGCAGAGAGACTGCAGCGGGAGGCCAACTGTAGATAGCACATTTAATACTGACTGACCTTAATAAAGTGTACTCTGACTTTACAAAGAGGAATTTTGTTCTATCAATTATATGAAATGTATAATATTTGATTGAAAAAGGAAAACAAATGATTAGATAAAAGCCAATATTCAAATGAATAAAGGCAGGGTAGCAAAATGATATGCTATATCATAATAGTTTACTGACAACAATTGAGTTTTCATTCACTAATTCCAATCACTTGTATTGTATTGCTTTTTTGTTACTGTCAATAAAACATCTTGCAGATTTTTCCAAGGACTGTTCACTTTGACAAACTACAGGGATTTCATGTAAAATATCTCTGCAGGAAGTCTTTAGATGATTAAAATGTAGCTTATTAGCTATCAAAGAGGACTGCTCATGTTCAGGTTCATATTGGTACTTTGTGACTCTAGCCAGAAACTCCCTCTGGAGGGAACTCTGGGATTTGATTCATTGCAGACCATTTACATGCACAGAAACCTATGGGAGCAGATCATAAAACTCCCTGCTAAAGCATTATATAATAGACTATATTAACAGGGTATATGAATTGTGACATGAATATCTGCTATAAATAGGTTCATTATAATATTCCACTCCATGCCCTCTGAAAAGGCAAATCAGTTGCAATGCAAATGTTATATACAAAGGTCTTGGTACTGTGGTAACATGTGTTTGTGTTTCACATGTGCTCAGATTTACAACATATAATAAAAGCGCTTTTCTGTCTTTAAATAGAAGCTTTCCAGTGGAGAAGGGGAGTTTCCCTAAAAGAGGCTCTCAAGCTGTCTATCCCTCTCGACTTCCAACGTAAGAACACCAGCTACCATTCACAGAAATGCCAGTGTGCACAAATAACAAGCCATTTTCTTCAGTAGCTATACAACTGTTTACTGCTTTAACATTTTCCTACACTTCATACGCCTTGTGTGTTTTCATACTTGTCTGAATATGGTGCGATGTGTGTTTGGACAGGCCACTCCCTTCCCCCCCACACTAAGCACTAAACTATGCTGTAGGCTCCTGCTGTAGGAAGCTGACTCACATGCACAGTGGCTGAGCTGAGAATAACTTGACAGATGAAGTGTCTAAAGGAGGAATCTGATCTGAATGGTCAGCAAAAAACAATAAATAAAACCAATCACTTGCTGTGCTATCTTTGTTTGCTTTCTTACTTGACATGACTGTGTGCATGTAATAAAAGGTGGAGCACTATCAGACAAGAGGCACCACTAGATTGAGCATAATGTAGTATATTAAAAACAAGTCATTCAATAATGGGGTTTTCCTGTTTGCTTTAGCCACAACATTGAGTCAAAGACATGCATATTGAATATCAAATAAATAGATTAATTTCGACAATTTTTGTGTGTTCAGACTGTTCATCTAAAAATGTTCTTATCATAAATGATGGTAAAAGAAAACATGGACAACATTTTCATCATGATGGATTTCCTTTCTCAGACTGACTCTAAGACCCCATTTACACGGGAACGTATGCGTTTTCAAAAAAGTCTTCCATTCACACACGCATTCGGCTCAATTAACATATGTACTACGCTGTAGTACATATGCCGTAGTACATATGCCAGGCCTGTAAGTGGCGCCGCTGCCACCACAAAATACACCAAAAGCAGCGAAGAAGACCCCGGAGCATGGGTTGCGGTCGAATAGTCGAAACATCAGCTCCTAAGTTCTAACCCTATCGTCCATCCCTTGACCTCTGAGTGAAACGTCACAGGGTTAAGGGATAGTGGATAGGAGAATTCAAAAGGATTTAGGGCTGCAGTCGAAAAGTCCATTTAGCTTAGGAACCTTCCTAACCGAGTGAAATGACCCGAAAGTCCCTCAGTGGCAGCCATGATAAGTGCCGTTCGAATACTCTAGAATGATAGGAAATGAGGTTTCAAACTTCCTTTATAACCTCCTTTAGCTTAGGAACCACTGGACCTCCCTAACCGAAAGGAGAGGAGGAAATGCGGCCCCACAATGCCTTGCAGCCACAGCATTTGACGTCACACAACAGTCGGCCGTTCACGGACACAAACGATTATGACGGAGAAATTATATCATGAAAGTTACGGTGCTTATTAAGCATTTTAAAACGTATGTGGTAAGTTGCCAAAGTGCTTTTTTTTTTAACGTTCATCAGTATTATAATCAAAAAGAGAAATATGAACGTTAGTTTTTACTGAAATGATCAAATAAAGTCAACATTTCACTGAGCTGTGTGGGGTTTGTTCATCTTTTAAAAGATGTTTGAATGGTGATATACACAGTGATAGGTGTTAAAGACTAACGTTTATAATAAATACATTTGTATTGATTTTAAGATATTTTCATAGTTCCTACAATCATACGTATTGGGATCATTTGTATTAATGTGGACTGGAGGGAGAGGGTGACGAGCATAAGTTTCACTTTTTTATTTCAATTCCAACTTTGGTCATGAAGAATATGTTTCTCTGTTGTTCATAAAGCATAAAGCAACAGCATCAGAGCACGGTGCAGAGTCTCTAGATGAGTCCGTCGTTCTTATTAAACATCCATGTTGTAGTCCGCTATATAGAAAACTGTAGTTTCCATAGTTTCCCCACAGCAGCAGAAGCACATAATGATGTCCGCTGGCGCATCATAAACACGTCGGATAGTGAAAGTGCATTCGGATTCTCTAAAGTACCGCAGTCTCTTCTCCTAAATCCTTT